CGATGACGAGACCAGTACGATATTTGACAAAGCGGTCTAACTACAATTCGAAGCAGCAAAGCAGCACACCACCCAACTTGGGTGGGTCATAAATATCAAAGATAAGTAAAGAAAGGGAAGCTTTGCGAAAACGAATTGTACAAGCCGAAAGCCAAACTCCTACAGTACTCCTCATGCATGACATTGTGATGGACTAGTTGACTACAAAACAAGTTGTTTCACACGACGTACGTTTCGCCGTATGGTTCGTGACGGCTCATCAGGTGTGCAATTTGAAACTCGGATGTTGAGCCATAAATAAATGTAAAATAGAAAAGGACATATGGATACGAGTTTAGAGTAACTCTCCATCACTGTAACATGATACTATATACAGTCAGAAAGTGCAATAACTAGGCACAAAACTGACAGAGTACTGAGACATTCGACGTCCTGACACCTAATGACCCACCCAAGTTGGGTGGTGTGCTGCTTTGCTGCTTCGAATTGTAGTTAGACCGCTTTGTCAAATATCGTACTGGTCTCGTCATCGTCCAGTAACAATCGACATTCTTTGTTCCGTTGGGACTGTAGCTTTTGCTCGTTTTCGTTGCGCTTGCCTTCCCCTCTTTGGTCTTTTCCATAACCTTGAACCTTCCAAGTTGGAAGGCTGTCGGTTAGCGCTACGGAGATGTGTTAAAGTTAGGTGTCAGGACGTCGAATGTCTCAGTACTCTGTCAGTTTTGTGCCTAGTTATTGCACTTTCTGACTGTATATAGTATCATGTTACAGTGATGGAGAGTTACTCTAAACTCGTATCCATATGTCCTTTTCTATTTTACATTTATTTATGGCTCAACATCCGAGTTTCAAATTGCACACCTGATGAGCCGTCACGAACCATACGGCGAAACGTACGTCGTGTGAAACAACTTGTTTTGTAGTCAACTAGTCCATCACAATGTCATGCATGAGGAGTACTGTAGGAGTTTGGCTTTCGGCTTGTACAATTCGTTTTCGCAAAGCTTCCCTTTCTTTACTTATCTTTGATATTTATGACCCACCCAAGTTGGGTGGTGTGCTGCTTTGCTGCTTCGAATTGTAGTTAGACCGCTTTGTCAAATATCGTACTGGTCTCGTCATCGTCCAGTAACAATCGACATTCTTTGTTCCGTTGGGACTGTAGCTTTTGCTCGTTTTCGTTGCGCTTGCCTTCCCCTCTTTGGTCTTTTCCATAACCTTGAACCTTCCAAGTTGGAAGGCTGTCGGTTAGCGCTACGGAGATGTGTTAAAGTTAGGTGTCAGGACGTCGAATGTCTCAGTACTCTGTCAGTTTTGTGCCTAGTTATTGCACTTTCTGACTGTATATAGTATCATGTTACAGTGATGGAGAGTTACTCTAAACTCGTATCCATATGTCCTTTTCTATTTTACAATAATAATAATAATAATAATAATAATAATAATAATAATAATAATAATAATAATAAAGGTTTGCTCCCCACACCGGAGCTCGCGCTATTCCGCCGACTTTACTTGACACTTGACTGACTCACGACTGCCACGACTGTGTGGGGAGCAAACCTTTCTTACAAATCATCGCCGAAGTCGCAACCACTACTTCGTAATAATAATAATAATAATAATAATAATAATAATAATAATAATAATAACTGGTTTGAGGGAAAGAGACAAACGGGAAAAGTCTGAAGAAAAAATTGACTGTCACCACCAGGACTCGAACCAGGGACCTTCGCTTGTAGCCAGCGATGCTCTAACCACTGAGCTATGGTGTAGTCGTCATCCCAGCAGAGGCCGCCCAACATTTTCTTCAGACTTCAGAACTCACACTTCCTATGAATCCACACAGGCGGGTGGGACGCAGCCCTCACTGTAACCCACACACTTCACGTACAAACTAGCACGCGGGGAGCCCCAAGTCATAAAATATTAACTGGTTTGAGGGAAAGAGACAAACGGGAAAAGTCTGAAGAAAAAATTGACTGTCACCACCAGGACTCGAACCAGGGACCTTCGCTTGTAGCCAGCGATGCTCTAACCACTGAGCTATGGTGTAGTCGTCATCCCAGCAGAGGCCGCCCAACATTTTCTTCAGACTTCAGAACTCACACTTCCTATGAATCCACACAGGCGGGTGGGACGCAGCCCTCACTGTAACCCACACACTTCACGTACAAACTAGCACGCGGGGAGCCCCAAGTCATAAAATATTAACTGGTTTGAGGGAAAGAGACAAACGGGAAAAGTCTGAAGAAAAAATTGACTGTCACCACCAGGACTCGAACCAGGGACCTTCGCTTGTAGCCAGCGATGCTCTAACCACTGAGCTATGGTGTAGTCGTCATCCCAGCAGAGGCCGCCCAACATTTTCTTCAGACTTCAGAACTCACACTTCCTATGAATCCACACAATAATAATAATAATAATAATTTTAATATGGCAATAAGTAGGACGAGCTGAAGCGACATGTGGACTACTTTATTAACAATGTAAGCGATGGAGACGATGCAAGAAACAACCTAAAGGGTAAGGAAAAATACATGTAAGAAGAAAAAGGGCAATGGAAAAAAAAGATGATTCGAACAAGTTTTCGTACAACACTCTTCAGGAATCACCGTTGTACTAAAGAACAAAATGAGAACAAAGGAAATAATATAGCAATCAAGGTAGGGTGACACGATACAATGACAGCACTAGAATATCGAGGTGCGATTTCTCACAAAAGTGTGCAGAAAACAAGGGTATACAAGTAAGAACTAAGCGTGACAAGTGTGTATCAGCAACAAAAAACAAAAAAGTGAGAACGAATGATAATAATAACAATAATAAACAAGAAGGTGACAAAACACATTTAGGCACAAGTGGCAACAACGTTGCCACACTACACAACAGAACATTATTTGAACAATTTTAGGGTAATAACACTATCTTTCTGGACACACAAATTCGGCTTATGAATGCGCTGACAAACAGCTTCCAAAACTTGTAACTGCAAAAGATAACCATGACGAGCACGGCACAAAACAGAAAAACAGGAATCAGAATAAGTACGACAACAGTCAGTACTAGAAACCAAATGATTGTATACTGAAGACTTGTTATTACGAGACGGACGCAAACAATCTCGACTCACGCGCACACCCTCACACTCCCTCTCACCCTCACTCAGCTCACCTTCTCCCTCACTGTCCGAATCAGAACCTGCTCCGTCATCCACCGCGGTTTGACTCTCCTCCTCACTTGCATCGTCCTGCGTCTCACCTTCACCACTCACGCCAACCCTGAATGCCGTTGCCTTCACGTCAGTCAGGTTCACATCCAACAACAACAACAACAACTAATCCACAAAACAAAGCAGCAAATGACAGACCACGGAGATCTACAGCAGATTACAACCGGACCTATGAATTCACGGTAAAAATACAAAGGAAACAATCGGAAAGGACGACGACTGACGTGAAGGCAACGGCATTCAGGGTTGGCGTGGGTGGTGAAGGTGAGACGCAGGACGATGCAAGTGAGGAGGAGAGTCAAACCGCGGTGGATGACGGAGCAGGTTCTGATTCGGACAGTGAGGGAGAAGGTGAGCTGAGTGAGGGTGAGAGGGAGTGTGAGGGTGTGCGCGTGAGTCGAGATTGTGTGCGTCCGTCTCGTAATAACAAGTCTTCAGTATACAATCATTTGGTTTCTAGTACTGACTGTTGTCGTACTTATTCTGATTCCTGTTTTTCTGTTTTGTGCCGTGCTCGTCATGGTTATCTTTTGCAGTTACAAGTTTTGGAAGCTGTTTGTCAGCGCATTCATAAGCCGAATTTGTGTGTCCAGAAAGATAGTGTTATTACCCTAAAATTGTTCAAATAATGTTCTGTTGTGTAGTGTGGCAACGTTGTTGCCACTTGTGCCTAAATGTGTTTTGTCACCTTCTTGTTTATTATTGTTATTATTATCATTCGTTCTCACTTTTTTGTTTTTTGTTGCTGATACACACTTGTCACGCTTAGTTCTTACTTGTATACCCTTGTTTTCTGCACACTTTTGTGAGAAATCGCACCTCGATATTCTAGTGCTGTCATTGTATCGTGTCACCCTACCTTGATTGCTATATTATTTCCTTTGTTCTCATTTTGTTCTTTAGTACAACGGTGATTCCTGAAGAGTGTTGTACGAAAACTTGTTCGAATCATCTTTTTTTTTCCATTGCCCTTTTTCTTCTTACATGTATTTTTCCTTACCCTTTAGGTTGTTTCTTGCATCGTCTCCATCGCTTACATTGTTAATAAAGTAGTCCACATGTCGCTTCAGCTCGTCCTACTTATTGCCATATTAAAATTATTGTCTCCTCGTCGAATTTTTAAATAATAATAATAATAATAATACACCATAGCTCAGTGGTTAGAGCATCGCTGGCTACAAGCGAGGGTCCCTGGTTCGAGTCCTGGTGGTGACAGTCAATTTTTTCTTCAGACTTTTCCCGTTTGTCTCTTTCCCTCAAACCAGTCAAAATAATAATAATAATAATCCCAGTCATGTATTGTCTTTCTCTGCATATGCCGTTTTATCTCGTCTGAGTTTGTCTTGCTTGGAGTGTCCCATGTGCAGCATGCTTGGTGTTTACTACTTGAGTAGTTCTGTTATACATGACTGTGATTTTATGTGAGTATCGAAGTTGGTATACTTGAATTTTTCTCTCATGAAGTTTATCAAAATTTGGTTCAGGATTTTCTTTTATCTTCATTGATTGGTGCTTCACCCTTGGGTCATATGGATCCCGGTGCTGTGCTTCATGCCTCCTTTCAAGCTTTCTTTTTCTGCTTTGGGAGTGAATAAAGTCGTCATAATAATAATAATAATACAGCACGCATATAGCTCATACGAAAAATCAAATGACGGTCATGCATCTGTCGACAACGTCGAGCCAGTGCGTTCTGTCTGAGGCAAGTTGATAGAAAATTAATAGTTATAAAATCTGGTTTTCCCCTATTCTTTCCCTTGTGCCTCAGTAACCTGGCGGTCCTGCTCGGGAGGAATTGATCTATTAGTGGACGCGCGTGCTCGGCAGACATGGACAAATTCGGAGAAACAGTGCCAGCACTATGGCGGCCATTTGGCTGTGGTTGATATGGCCCAGATCGGTGCAGACTGCAGTGCTGATGTGGCAGCACTGGGTGACACCCAGGCACATATCGGTATCACCGCGTCTCTGGACGACACGTTCCGCTCGCTGCCCGACCATAACAGTCGGTCGCCGCTGTTGCAGTTCAGTACATTCGGAACCAGATGTGCAGCGGCAGCAGTATCTTCCACCAATGGTGCAGCATCCGTCAGCACTAGCACTACTAGCTGTAATGGAGAACCATGGCGACCATTCATTTGCCAGCGACGGACGGGTGAGTTTTAGGCTACAGCCCTGAAGTTAAGTTAAAGGGGAATTCCCTCAGTTGGTGGGCCAAGGAAATATTGAGAAAAAAACCGCGGAAACAGTGGGCACAAGTCAGAGTCCGCCAACTAGACCACTCCACGCGGCATGGCAGTGAGCTTGAGCCGCGACTGCTGTATAGTATATCCAAGGGCCTTGTCTCAGTACGCCCTGTCAGTTCTACTGTAACACATGTAAATATAACAAGGAAGCAAATATAATGCATGCAGGCTACTCAGATGTGTCAAATGTCACACCAGCCTGATCGAACCGTGTACAGTAAATATCGGATATAACGTGCCCCTTTGATTTTCGAAAATGTATCACTATATCCGGTGCATCACTATAGCCGATTTGCATGTTTGACCGACACATGGCACATGACTGCACATGAAATGATGCGTACACGCTGGAAAAAGCATGCTGAAAGTGCATGCATGCTCCGCGGACTGTGTACCGTTGCATGACACAGAGCAGTGCATGGCAGTGCAGTACGAGTACAGACTGTACATGTACTAGAACTTCGATACATCATGTGGCATGGCTGCTTCTTCAGCGTGTTCTCCAAAAAAAGCCTGAGCTGGATCCGTGCTCACGTAGATCGTAGATCTACTCGGTGTCCAACGAGTTGCGTAGAGCCAGAAATAGACATGAGTGGCTGTGTACGTGAGTTGGCAACATCATCGTGAGAGGCAACACAGCCAGAAACGGACAAGAGCATGCAGAAAGATCACTCTTGATCATTATATGCGATATTTTCCTGTACATTTGATATGGTTTGCTTCCTGAAGGCCATCACAATAAGCGATATATCGGTATAGCCGATAATAGTGTATATAGTGATATTTTAGCTGTATTTTTTCAGATTTGTTTTTGATTTTGACGTGTTCTATCACAATAACCGGTATATCATTATATCCGGTCACTTTATAAACGATACTTACTGTACATGTACCTGGCCAGCGTTTACAGCAGTACAGTTGTTGTGGAGGAACTACATGTATATTTATGTGCGTGTACATGTCATTGATTCTACTTGTACTCGGTAAATGCGGTACTACTGTATGCCATTCACGACTGCTCTAGCAAAACATTCATATCCATGTACATGTACAATCATTAGGGGTGAAACAATTATACCGAATACTCGAGTACTCGCTCGGTTTTTTCAGAAATAATCGTACTCGGAATAAATCAGAGTACTCGTTCATACATGGTACATGCATTTACCACAGAAATCTGCAGTTTCAGAGCAGCAGTCGGCAGATATTGATGTGCAGACTGTGTGGTGAACATTTGTTCACGAGTAGAGAGAGCCCAAATGACCCACCAACCAATATACCCGAGAAAAATGACTGCCACTCGGTTCAATCAGGGTTGTATCATGTGACTTTAAGGCCCTCGGTGTGCAATTTTTAGGGGATGAAGAATACTTTTTTTTTCTTTTTTTTCAGCCAGCTACGAAGCCTCTTGTACTTGGGATGAAGAATACTCGAATACTCGAATATTCGATCGGAGAAAATCAGAGTACTCGAACTCGGGATCTCAGTGCCAACTTTCACCCCTAACAATCATGTACATAAGCATACCATAGCATGGGGGATCGTGTACAGTAGATAAACACAGAAAATGTGCGATAAGACTTTCGAATAGAGGGGGGGAGGTAGGGGGTAAAGTCTATTCGAAATGCGTTACGTTTGCAAAATAAATGCGAACTTATGAGATGCTCCCTAAGGCCACGTATGTGATATGTGCGGATATGCCTCAAGACTGCAAGATGATCGTTATGATCGTTGAAAGGATGTAGAATAGATTACGGAGGTGAAACATTGTCTGTCCGAATCAACAGGGGGTGACTGCACCGAGCAACAGGGTGACAGCACACCCTGTCAGCAAGAGTAAGTTTCACAAAGTAGATCGTAGCGGAGTTGCCACGGATAGCGATAATGCAATGTATCAAGTAAATACATGTACATTACAACTAATTTGTGTGTCAACAATTCTACTTACATAATGCACAATCCACAACATATTCCGCTCCTGAACATGTCACTGTATCATAAAATGTATACGTAACAAAAAAGCACTCGTGATGTAATTCTAACTGGCTACCAAATAAATTTCACACTCGTGAAATCCATAGCAGTAATACACACCGCACCAATGTTGCAAGCGACCTAGCATGTCTTGACAATACTGCACCTGCAGCATGTGACAGTTCTGTACACAATTCGCTACTACAATACACTAATAGTATCAACGTGCAACATGTGACAGCATGTGATAGTTCTAAAGAATAATGTTCAAGAGCGCAGTCTCCTGTCCACTATTCATGTTGATCAGTCAGTACATGTAGTGACTACACTCTATCGCTGTACGGTAAAGTACCCGTAACTGTACTGCATGGTGCAGACATTGCGCACTCGATTATAGCCCCGGGCCTTTATACGAGGTGGGGCTTCATTATTCCGATTCCCTCTGACGCACGTGACACGGGCTCGAGAGGTGGCTCTATTTGAAGGGGGGCTTGTATTCGAGCGCATACGGTATCCTCGTCATGACAAATCTAGTCATGTCTAGTGTGCTTTGCAGCCGTCGGTATGTGTGCATCGTACTATTGAGTACGAAAAGGACGACTGACGACATGACTGTTTTCCAGACATTACAACGGACAACGGGAACAAGTTAGTGGGAACGACATTTATTATAGACGCCGAGACAAGAGACCCAGACGAACGAAACGACTACTTGTACATTAAAGAGTGAGAAAGAGAGAAAGAGATCAAGTCTGAACAGCAAGTAGCTATGGCAATTATGGGCGCGCAAGTAGCTACCGAGGCCAACGGAACAAAAGGAGACAAAAGGTGAGTACCCGAGTGCATGCAGGCCAGCTAGAAAAGGTACGGGAGGAGGTACCTAATAGTACTATATCTATTGGAACGTGCAAGTGCCGAACATGTGGGGAGATGATCTCCCTGTTTTAAGTGTTACTCAAAAATCTGGAAATCAAAATTTCTTTTGCTGTACTTTATAATAAAATGCTTTGCAAATGGGAGGTATGAGCAGTCGTAAATGTCCACCACAAAAAATCAAAGGCAATGCATAAGAATAGTGGCGTTTGCCTGCACTGGGGATCTTAATGCGCGGTATTCTTCACTAATTGTGCCATTTGTAAAATATGAAATGGAAGGAAAAACACATGGGAACGAGTTATGAAGCCACTATCCACGACTGTAACAAGATAATAAGCAATCAGAAAGTGTTAAAACAGGGTCCAAAACTGACATGTTACTGAGACATTCAACGGCCTGAAACCTAGATCTAACACATATCCGAATGTTGAATGTCTCAGTAGCCTGTCAGTTTTGCGCTGTGTTATCGCAGTTTCTGACTGCGTATTATCTTGTTATTGACGTGGATAATTGCTTCAAAACTCGTTTCCATGTGCTTTTCTTCCATTTTACATTTCTTATTGGCTCAGTATCCGAGTTAAACTTGTAAAATATGTTGTGTTTGTGCAGCCATTGAGGAGAGGGGATTCTCGATATTGTGCAATGGCAACATGTACATATACCATCCAATTGCTTTCTCGAGACAGCAAGCAGCCGATGCGTGTGCTCAAATTTACGATGGTAGTGAACTTTCCGGCACAGCCCCGTCGGACGTCGCTTGCATACGGCAGCTGCTCAACTCACAGCCTCTCGCTGGGCGTGGCCTGGACTCGATAGATATGTACACATCAAGGACGCACACGTCGTCATTCGCAGGCACCCGTTGTGGCTACTTAAAAGCTTCGGACGGATCAATCGCACTGCGTTCGTGCCAACAGACATTGCCAGCCATATGCACGCAAAGCAGTAAGTACGAATATGACTCTACTGTCTTGCAACTACGAATAAATTGTATTTGATCAACAAAGCTGCATGACGAAACAAACTTAGAAGTATTGTCTTTGGTGGTATTTGTAATGAAGTGGGTTGTTCCTGCATGGAACGCCCGCTTCCTGCCAAACCTGACACTTGCTTGACTCACGATTGCCATCCGAAGCCCATCACACCTTCTAATTGTCAAACATTGCAACAAAGCACCCTTCCATGCTCAGTTTGATGAGGGGAAAATCCCTGAAACATTGTGCAATGTCCATGTATGCAGGTGAGGCGAGACTCAGTGGGGCCTCCTGCTGTCGATCCTGTTGGCGGGCAGACAGGTCGGTGTGAATCCTGAACGGCAACAGAGCCTGTCGCGTTGGGGGATCTCGGCGGTGAGTCTCGCCTCTGCCTGCATACATGGACATTTCAACATCATAATAATAATAAACAACATACATGTACTTTCCATTGGCATTCGTATTCCGCGTAAGATTTTCGTCGCCTGTGTGGTGTGTTTCTCCACCAATGAGCGCGTACTATGAATATTTATCGCTGTTCTCACACTTTACCATTTTAGCAGCTTGCATATGCCATTGTTATATGTGGAAAGCGCGCACTTGCGCCATTTCTGGTGTATACGAATGATCATTCCTCCATTATCATCATTATCATCCTCTACTGATGAGCTCCGACAGGGAGCGAAATGGCTGTCTAGAGGCGTGGAACAATATTATCTCTCAACGGAAGTGTCCTTGCTGGTGTCTGTATGGTTCGGCTGAAGAGCGCGTGGTTGTGATGAGTTGGGAATGCAATGAATTGAAAGTATGGCCGAAAGCTCTGTCGCAATATTTAGTTCTGAAGTTTTAATGCGCCGTTAGTGGCAGAGCAGAGTGGACACGACGAGTCGGTGAAGAAAGAAGGAGAGATGGCAAGATGAGTCGGTGAAGAAGGAAGGTGAAAAGCAAGACACATCTGCAACATCTTTGTTTGATCAAACTGAGCTGAGCTACAGATACGAAGCGTCGACCAAGCAGCCCTGACTAGAGTGAATGCCCCAGCTGGCCTCTCGTTTGTCAGTGGTTGCTACTAGACCTGTTAGTATCACACTCACGACTACAAGTTTCCTGGTGTGTATCGTCATCGGCATCAGTGGGGCCTCCCGCTGTCGATCCTGCTGACAGGCGGACAGGTCGGTGTGAATCCTGAATGGCAACCGAGCCTGTCGCATTGGGGATCTCGGCGGTGAGTCTCGCCTCGCCTGCATACATGGACATTGCAACATCATAATAATAAACAACATACATGTACTTTCCATTGGCATCAGTATTCCGCGTAAGATTTTCGTCGCCTGTGTGGTGTGTTTCTCCACCAATGAGCGCGTACTATGAATATTTATCGCTGTTCTCACACTTTACCATTTTAGCAGCTTGCATATGCCATTGTTATATGTGGAAAGCGCGCACTTGCGCCATTTCTGGTGTATAAGAATGATCATTCCTCCGTTATCATCATTATTATCCTCTACTGATGAGCTCCGACAGGGAGCGAAACGGCTGTCTAGAGGCGTGGACCAATATTATCTCTCAACGGAAGTGTCCTTGCCGGTGTCTGTATGGTTCGGCTGAAGAGCGCGTGGTTGTAATGAGTTGGGAATGCAATGAATTCCTTGGAAACTGTTCAAACATTCACTCGTTTTGTGCCATCCGCTGATGGCTGTTCTCTTCTTCTTTCACTGCAGTGCCTGAACACCGTACACGTCCATCGGCGGGAAATGTTCCACCGACAGCTACACAGCGCCAACAGCCCGGGATCAGTGACTCCATCGCAGCTGCGGCTACGCAGCCACCCCTTCCTCGTAAGGCAATTCATACCGGACCGGGTAGCGGCAAGGACAGCATGAAGGCTGGTCCACACTTGGATTCGCGTACGGGAAAATCATTGCACTCAAGTCCACTTTTTCGCTATGCGACGCGTTTCCCGTACGTGAAATGAAGTGAGAATCAGGCTTAACCAGTGTAGGCGTAGGTATAGTAGTGAAGTAGTTGTGTCTCACCCTGGCGGTTTGTATTGACTTTGCTTGTGTATAGGTGAATGTGTGTGTGTGTGTGTGTGTGTGTGTGTGTGTATGTGTGTGCTTAGGCAAGCTGTGCGCCGACTACGGAACGGAAAAGCAGCAGGAGGCTCTGGAATCTTACAGGAACTGCTGAAGGCTGGTGGGGATGGCCTCATGATGGCACTGCTAGACCTTGTCCAGACAGTGTGGAATGCAGAGCGGGTGCCCCAGGAGTGGGTGGACTGCCAGCTTGTCCCGATACCAAAAAAAGGAAATCTATCCAGCTGTGACAATTGGAGGGGCATCGCTCTTCTGGAGGTGGTAGGAAAGGCTGTTGCTGGCCTCGTCCAGACAAGATTGCAGCGGCTCGCGGAAGACATCCTGCCAGACACGCAGTGTGGATTCCGCAAAGGCAGATCTTGTGCGGACATGATCTTCGCGGTGAGACAAATATCTGAGAAACTATATGAACATCGCTGCTCTGGTTTCATGGTTTTTGTTGATCTACGGAAGGCCTATGATTCCGTCACCCGTAAGTGCATGTGGGAAATTCTCCGGAAGGCGGGCGTACCTGACAAGCTGGTTACCATTATCAGCTCATTTCATACCTCTATGTCTGCAAACCTGTCGATCCCGGGCATCGAGGCCGAGCCTATTGAGGTGCAAAATGGCCTTCGACAAGGTTGTTGTATGGCCCCAGTATTGTTCAATATATTCATGTGGGCAGTATTCCGGCTGTGGCAGCGTGAGGTTGCGGACATACCTGAGATTGGACTTCCCGTCTCCTCTAACTCTGGACCGTCTCTCCTTTTCAAACGCCAGAAGACTGACACAATCAACATCCATCGTGACTGTCAATTCGCAGACGATTCGGCACTTATTGCTACAACTCACCATGGTGCCACACTTGCGCTCAGCCGGTTCATGGACGTCGCAACTCACTTCGGCCTCACCATCAACCTATCAAAAACCAAAGTAATGGCGGTAGGCTTCGGCATTTCTCCGGAGGATCGTCGTCCATTGGTGGTTGGCGGGGGAATTGTCGAGAATGTGCATGACTTTCGCTACCTAGGCTCCATCATCCATACTGGTGGCCGCACCGCAGTGGACACTCAGTCCCGAATAGCGTCAGCATCTAGGGCATTCGGAGCATTGCGTCGATCTGTCTTTGATGATGGCGATCTTTCACTGGCAACGAAGCGAATGGTATATGATGCATGTGTGGCTTCTCTTCTCCTTTACGGAGCGGAGTGTTGGGTACCACTGAAAAGCGAGCTTGCGGCGCTGTCCGCCTTCCATCTTCGCTGCATTTCCGCAATCTAAGCCCTTGGTAGAAGAGACACCTGGGACTTCCACATCAACAGGAAGACCATTCTGGAGGCCTGGAATCGTCGAGATCCAGTGGATATTACCACACGTGTTCTTCGCCGCCGTCTGGAGTGGCTAGGCCATCTAGCTAGGATGGACGGCGATAGAACTCCGCGCCAGCTCCTGTTTGGTGCGCTCCTTCCGCCGAGGCCGGCTTGCGGTCCTCGGAAACGGTGGCGAGACTCTGTCAGAGCTGACCTCTCCGCAGTGAACATCGACCACACGGAATGGTACGACCTCGCCCAGGAGCGTGGGAAATGGCGCAGTGCGTATTCCGCTCAACCAGTACCGCGATCGGCTCAGCGTGACACTTCTGTGCTCTGCGATGTTTGCCAGCGTACTTTCGCCCACCAGAAATACAAGAATCGCCACAAGTGCCTGGCCGAGAGGAGGAAGCCCATATCTGAGCAGTCCGGCAGCCGACTATGTAATGCGTGCGGGAGATGGTTCTTGAGTGCTGGCGGGCTAGCTTCGCATAAGTGTCTCTCCAACTCGGCTGCTGAAGTGGCGTCGGTCTCGGCTGTGGCATCGGCAGACTCGGTCCGGAAACAGCGGGTTGCCCTGCCCTGCTGCAGAGCGCATTGTCTCGGCTGCGGTCGCTGCTGCAAGTCATCCCGTGGTTTCGACCTGCATAGCTGTGCTAATTTCCTGTCCAGGAAGTAGAGCGGCGTTTCTGGGTCCAATGCTGAACTCAGTGCTGTCGACCCCTGCACAGGGGACACGTGACCATTTGATGGCAGTGTTACCAAGGAGCAAGGTGTGTGTGTGTGTGTGTGTGTGTGTGTGGGTGTGGGTGTGGGTGTGGGTGTGGGTGTGGGTGTGGGTGTGGGTGTGGGTGTGGGTGTGTGGGTGTGGGTGGGTGGGAGTGCAGTCATAACCAAAATGATTTCAGTTGATGCTAGTCAGCAGAGGGCTGTTAAGGACCAGTAACGGTGTCTTGTGATATCATATTTTAATAAGAATTTGGAAGTAATGGACTTTGAGAAAACAATTTTTAAATTAGCAATAAAGAGAAACAATTCTGCTGTCGATTCGTTCTTTTGTGGCGATGACAGCAGAATTTGTTCTCTTCAATGCTATAATTATTTTAAAAACGTAATTGGTATTTACTTTTGTTGTTCATCTGCAGCTAGTGTCTTAGCCATGTTTGATCGTATCCTCAAGGAAGTGGCACAGCTCGTTCCTGGGCATTCGGTGAATATAGGTGAGTGCATTGAAGCCTCAGTTCATTACCTTGGCTCTCAGTTGGCTGTGGCAACGCTTCGTTCTCACAATAATCATTCGATGTAGAGCGAAGGATTAGAATTAAAAGAAAGGACCAAAATGTAACATGCTATCCCTAGTTTCTAGTTTGTGTCCAACGCTAACAGTTATAAGCAAGATGTTGTCATGCAAGACGTGATAGAGCTGAACATCAGGTCTTTGAATATCGGTACCACATCAGTCAGTATTGTGCCAGCTCTTGCACCTTCTGACTACACAACATCTTGCTTACAACTGTTCGTGTTGGACACCCACAACGTATAACATGAACTATTTTGGTCCTTTCTTTTAATCTGATAGTAATGTTGTCTCTTTGTATTCGTATGAAAACCCAGTCATGGTCGTTGGCACGGTAATGACTGCGAGTGTTGTTTTGGTTTTGTCATGTTCCAGGGCGCTGTCATACCTCCAAGGGTTGTTGAAGCATAGCTTCGCTTCATGATACTGTTGACTTGAAATATGAAAACTTTGGAAGTGTATGCATATATGCATGTGTCCAACAAAGTCCCTTCCATGTAGGGGAAGAAGTGGAGCAAAAAAAAAAACACAGGACGTTTGCGCTATGCATGTGTCCATGTAAGATTCCAAACTCATGTGGCTTCAGAATTACACAGCCTAGCATTCCCCTCTAGTTGTCCTGCCCTAGCACATCTCAACTCTCATGTCCATTGAAAGTCTACTTTCATGACCAATGTTAAGATGATCTAAGGAGAGATTCCTAGACTCACTGTTTTCTTCACTCCCCATAATCCAGGATAACTAATCTTGTTCTTAACTCCCTTTTCATCATCATCATCATCATAACATTGGACATGATTGCCCGTTTGACTTGCCATGTAAAATAAGAGCAATACAATACAATACAATACAATACAATACAATACAATACAATACAATACAATACAATACAATACAATGCAATACAATACAATGCAATACAATACAATACAATACAATACAATACAATACAATACAATACAATACAATACAATACAATACAATACAATACAATACAATACAATACAATGCAATACAATACAATACAATACAATACAATACAATACAATACAATACAATACAATACAATACAATACAATACAATACAATACAATACAATACAATACAATACAATACAATGCAATACAATACAATGCAATACAATACAATACAATACAATGCAATACAATACAATACAATACAATACAATACAATACAATACAATACAATGCAATGCAATGCAATGCAATGCAATACAATACAATACAATACAATACAATACAATACAATACAATACAATACAATACAATACAATACAATACAATACAATACAATACAATACAATACAATACAATACAATACAATACAATACAATACAATACAATACAATACAATACAATACAATACAATACAATACAATGCAATACAATACAATACAATACAATACAATACAATACAATACAATACAATACAATACAATACAATACAATACAATACAATACAATACAATACAATACAATACAATACAATGCAATACAATACAATGCAATGCAATACAATACAATACAATACAATGCAATGCAATGCAATGCAATGCAATGCAATGCAATGCAATACAATACAATACAATACAATACAATACAATACAATACAATACAATACAATGCAATACAATACAATACAATACAATACAATACAATACAATACAATACAATACAATACAATACAATACAATACAATACAATACAATACAATACAATACAATACAATACAATACAATACAATACAATACAATACAATACAATACAATACAATACAATACAATACAATACAATACAATACAATACAATACAATACAATACAATACAATACAATACAATACAATACAATACAATACAATACAATGCAATGCAATACAATGCAATGCAATACAATACAATACAATACAATACAATACAATACAATACAATACAATACAATACAATACAATACAATACAATACAATACAATACAATACAATACAATACAATACAATACAATACAATACAATACAATACAATACAATACAATGCAATGCAATGCAATGCAATGCAATGCAATGCAATGCAATGCAATGCAATACAATACAATACAATACAATACAATACAATACAATACAATACAATACAATACAATACAATACAATACAATACAATACAATACAATACAATACAATACAATACAATACAATACAATACAATACAATACAATACAATACAATACAATGCAATCCAATCCAATGCAATGCAATACAATACAATACAATACAATACAATACAATACAATCCAATGCAATACAATACAATACAATACAATACAATGTCGCATCATCAAAGTTACTAGAAACCCAGATAAAAGACCATTTGCAACCCCAGTCGGAATAACTTCACATTGCATTGTTGTGTTTTGGTATTACATTTGTTTCCACGCTCCAGCCTACAACTGCAAGTCCGCAATCAAGGTTGCACATTCGACAATATCAGGAACAGCACCTGTGTTCACTGTCAGGTGCAGAGATGGTTACGAGCTGGTTGGCAATCCTACTGTCACTTGTACTAGCCCTACAGCAAACACAGGCTTACCGCAATGCAAGCGTGAGTTGTTTTGGGGAATCTTTCAAATTGTAAAAATACTTAAAACATGACGACACTACATTTTGTAGTGCCAACCTGCACATAGATCTAACCACCCTTTTGCACTAGAAAAAGGATGGTAAATTATGTTAGCTCCCCCCCCCTCCCAGGGAACTCACGACTGCCGCTAAAACCCCGTAAATCCAGTGAAAGATGCAGTGCCTAATCCTGGGGTGAGGGGATAACACCCCATGTGCCGGCCGGTTAGTCTCAAGTCTCGCATCCACTAGCAGAAGTGCCGAGAAACCCATGAACCGCATCCATGCACATGTACTCCTTTGTTTCTGGCCAGTGGCCACAAGTTCCCAATTGACGGTGGGTCACAGCGTGGCTAGAAAACCACTCCCGGGCAGGACTTTGAACAAGGCACCTCTCGTATCTCAAACCCCAGGATGCCTGCTTAGTCAACCACCCTTCACAAGCCACCACAAATACAAGTGATTTTGGATGTCAACCACCCTTCACAAGCCACCACAAATACAAGTGATTTTGGATGTCAACCACCCTTCACAAGCCACCACAAATACAAGTGATTTGTCAACAACTGTAGATATTCTTTGTCCCCCAAAGGGCAATAACATTGTCCTGTGCTATGGTATGCCTACTCATGTACAGCTGATGCCTCAGGGATATTGGAGCGTATCCTCAAGGAACTGGCAAAGCGTGTTCCGGGCCATTCGTTGATTACACACTTAGGTAAGTGTGTTTTGTTTTTAAAGTTTAGGTTCGCCAGCTCAGTGCCGGTTTTTATATTCACTTACTTTGCAGAGTCAAACGGGATTATAGCCCAGCGAAGCGAAGTGTGTAGGCGGCTATGGAGGGGGAGGGGGGATATTATCTGCATGTCGAGAGAGAATGTGTCAGTAAGGAGGGATAAACGAGTAAAAAGCATGGCAGAAGACTAAAAGGAGGCAAGGTGTATCGCTGTCATGCCAGTTTGCACTCTCAGTCTCCACGTCGACTTCGGCAATCCTTCTGATTAGGTTG